GTAATAGTCAAGCAAGTCCTGGCATTGATGAGTTGGCCAAGACAGTGCAGGAACTAGTTCGCCAGATGTTCGCCACTGTAGACCTGAAAGCGGAAGTTGAGTCTCTCCGTTGCCAGCTAGCAGACGTTAGTTTAAAATCACAAACCCACGCACCTATCCCGCCCACACAACCTACTGGTATGCCTTTTGATCACCATGAACCTTCGTGTACTACTCAGTAGTAGTTCCCCATCCGATCCACAGCATTTGAATTCCACTGTAGCACCAGCCCCACGTTCACAGCAGCAGCGTTTGAATCCCAATGCACCCGTACAGTTTGAACAGAGGCTCACAAACCCTCGTCCGCTCTACAGCGCCCAACTGATGAGTCTGCCACACCGTAGTACTCCACCGCTATCATTCCATCGCCCAGGTGACCAGACACGCACATCGTACACGCACAGTTCAGTGACTTCAGTCACATCATACTTCCACAAGACAAAGAAGTCAACAAAGGGTCTCCTACGCGGTGGTTCCCGTGTAAGGTGCAAAGCGCTCCACATCAGCAACATGCTGAGGCAACAGCTAAGTGGTGCGCAAACAAAGATGTTCACATCATCAAAATGCTCTGTGGCTGAAACACGCTATTTTGGACTGGCTTATGCCCATGCTGTGATTCCTGAAGAGTACTTCACCACGGTCCAACATGATGATTTTTGGCCTGCTTCCGTAGGGATTCGCGAATGGCGCTTCTCCTCTGACATTGTAGGTAAATGAGCAGTACATGCATCCTAAATCCCAACGCTCTCCCCTTCACCCCACACCCTCTGACTACTTCTACCGTTTCCTCGAGCCTGTATTCTACACTAAATGTTCTTGCACAGCCCTTCTATCCTACCTCCGGCTCCTCCAGCTCCTCTAACCATTGTACTCAATCTTCTTTCCATGTGTATGTTGCGGTGATAAATGCACGCTCAATAAACAACAAACTCGGTGAACTCTCCATCCTTTGTAATGCCAAGCAGCCTGACATTATCTGCATCACGGAGACTTGGCTCACCACCAACCATACCTTACACTTACCGAACTATGCAGTATTCCGCCGTGATCGACCGCAAACTCCCTCTAACCTTGACCCCTTCAGAGGCTATGGGGGTGTTGCCATCCTGGTGCTCGCTACCGCCTTCAGCAAAGTGAAAGAGATTCACTCATTTCGCCAACAGAACTTTGAAGCAATTCCTGTTGAAGCTACTTCCATAGGTTCATCCCAACCACTGTCGTTTGCCTGTTTGTACAGACCCCCTAACCAGCACGCTGCTGACCTACACTATTGTCTAGACACTCTGCGGACTGCTCTCATTAAGCTACCTGCTCCATCATCTACCATTGTAACTGGTGATTTTAATGCCCATTGCCAGAGCTGGTGTGCCTCCGACTCAACATCTGCTGCAGGCTCTGTCTTGTGCAACCTTTTCGCTGGATAGCACTGTCTCAACTTGTTACGTTCCCCACCCATCTCACCTTCAATGGACCCCGTGGCTGCCTGGATCTGGTCGGCACAAACATTCCCGAGAAGTTCGCATCCATTGAATCCCTGAGCCCCTGGGTGCCTCCGATCAATTAATCGTCCTCGGCAGGCTCTCCATTGCTAAAGACATAGCACAGTCTCGAGAGTCCACATCTGACATTGCACCGCCTCGCTTCAGCCATCACTTGCTCACTCAATCGCAATGGGAAGGCGTCAATGCTGAAATTGCCGCAACTCACTGGAGTGACCTCTTATGTGGCCTTGTTACTGATACAGCCGTTTTTTACTTCTCGTCTGACCTCAAATCGTCTCACAGTCTGCTCTTGTCACCGCGATCACCAGTCATCCACCAGAAGCCGAAGCCGCTCTTCGCGCCAGGATCCACCATGAATGACACCAGTGCTCAGGGCAGGCATTAAGAGAAAGCATGACCTCTACAGCATCTATAAAAAATACCCTACGCCGTCAAATGCCACGAAGTACATACGTCAGCGGAAAATTGCAGAAACGTTATCACATGTAGCCCATAAAGAATACGTCCAGTCCATTACTACGTCTCTCACCGACAGCCAGCATCCATCACTTCACTCGTTTATAAGAACTCTACGCAAATCAGCTTCGTCATTGGGCTCTAATCCAATAGCAATCAAACGGTCTGACCAAAGTTCCGCCACTGCGCCTCTTGATATTGCGGATGCTCTGAATGAGCAGTTTACCAGCTTCTGCGTTAAGGATATACCTGAATGGTTAGTTCCTCCTATCCACCAAATACCTATAGAGTCAACGTTTACATCGCTGACGATTTCATTCCGTACTGTAACCAGATACATACGCAGTCTCCCCAATAAGAAGTCTCCTGGTTACGATGGTATACCAAACGAAATCCTGAAACAGCTCCAAGACAGCCTAGCATATCCGTTATAGCTGCTCTTTAACATCTCTCTGTCGTCTGGAATCTTTCCCTCCACTTGGAAATACGCATTAGTGGTCCCAATTTATAAGCGCAAAGGCTGCCGATGGGATGCAACGAACTACAGACCCATCTCCCTACTGTGCTGTATTTCAAAGCTGTTTGAGCGCATTGTGTACGATCAGCTATATCGACACTTGTCCCCGTACTTGCATACCATGCAGTCTGGTTTCCGGCGAGGAGACTCCACAGCTCTGCACCTAGTCCACCTAATCCAAAACATGCAGTCCCGACATTTAAAAGAACATACTGGCATGTGCTTCCTTGACCTGGCGAAAGCCTTTGACACTGTTTGGCATAGAGGCCTGATTGCCAAGTTGGGTGCCTATGACATTGGTGGCAAAATGCGTTATTTCTTTAAAAGCTACTTAACTGGCAGGTTACAGGCTGTGCGCGTCGGTAACACCCTCTCGTCTCCCCAGCCACTCAATTCTGATGTGCCACAGGGGTCAATCCTGGGGCCACTATTCTTTTTAGTTTACGTCAATGATCTACCGATGTCTGTCCCTATTGTTTAACTGTTCGCCGATGATACCACAGTTTCCACTTCAAGTAGTTGCAGGCAATTGCTAGTTGATGACCTCCAGAAAAAGATCAACTCCACCATTTCTTGGATGTCGACTTGGAAGCTGAGACCGAACACTAGTAAGACCAAAGTGATGTTCTTCTGTAGCGGTGCTAGTGGTCAGTTCTGTAAATGTGTCTCTATCATGTCCTGGCAGCTTATCGACCATAGAAATTGTCCATGAACATAAGCACCTTGGTATAATTATTGACGACTACCTAACATACCTAATAACGTACTTCCACATTATGGGAATTTGGTATAACCCCACACCCGTCATTGTTGAATATTCGATAATAGCGTGGATTTCCCCAACAATATATTTTCATTTTTTGTTATCCTCTCCCATGCCGTTGTACATAAGCGGCTTGCCGCGGATATGTCAATACTACTACTACTACTACCTAACATGGGCTCCTCATGTAGACTATATTTGCAAGAAAACTCTGAGTAGTGTTCTCGGCATACTATATCCTCATCGTTCTCATCTGCAAAATACATGCCGTTCTATGTTTTGTCGCTCGTATCTATTACCTATTTTGCAGTATGCATGTCAGTCTTGGTGTAGTCTAAGTCAGCATCCTGTGAACAAACTTGAAATCCAACATAAATCTCTTCTTAAGATATTGTTTAACAAGCAGCGTTTATTTCCTAGTCTCGAGCTCTATTGTATCAGCAATACTCAGCCACTACAAGATAATCGCAAACAGCAGCTTTGCATTTTGATCCACAGAATTCGCCTAGGCAAAATTCCCATTCATCTCTCCATATTCAATTGGTTTTCTCTGTCCCGGTCCACTCGTAATAGTCTCTCACTTCCTCGTGCTAATTCAGCCGCATTTACCAACTCTCCTCTGTTTTTGTCCTAAAGCTTTTGGCTGCAACTTCCTCAGCATGTTAAGATATCCAAATGTCTTTCCAGGTTTAATAAATGCACTCCGATCGCATAAGGTAGTACGATAGTACGATAGGATCTCCTTGCTGGATTCTTGTCTATCCTTCTTTCTTGTCTTTTTCTTTATTCTTTTCTTTTCTCTCCTTGCCATGGTTGGCTATCACCCCTCTCTCGCACTTTGCATGCCAATTGGTCAATGACCACGAGTTAATGAAATAACTAAATAAATAAATAACGGGTCGCTGCCTTCCATCTTATGTAGGAACTTTCTTTAAAGGCCTACGTCCACGGCTGTGACAGGGAGCTTCCACAGTACCTCCCATCGATCTCACAATGGCGGCGTCACCATCACCCTCATACACCCTGGCGATGCGCTCGTTAATCTCCTTGAGCCTTTCGTCAAACTCTGTGCGGAGCGCACCCTCCTGCCGTCTGGCACTGCGCTCTTCACGCTCCTCGCACTGTCGGAGCCTCTTCTCCACGTATTCCATCAACCTATCGCCATCAAATCCATACCGAATTCCGCTGGCGATAAAGCTGGCTCTAATTATGTAGTTCCTCTGCAATGCTCGCTTCGATCCTGGCACGGTCGCCAAATGTTATGAACCCTTGTGATTCTCTAAAAATCAGGAACGAACGACCACACGGCACGAGGACAACTATTTACTCTTCAACAGTATATTTCACTTGATCGAATATAACTAACACTAAAACCACCAGGTTGTTATAGCGTGAAAATGACAGCGTATATCAGAAAAGCATACATATACAACATACAACTACACCGCACACAGCAAATCGCACATAGCGCATGTAGCGTATACCACGTCGTAAACATCAGCGGTACGGCGGTGTCGAGATACAACTGCATTAAAACGAACACAATGTCACAAGCGAGAAGGCCTTTATGCACTTGAGAAGTATTGGTTTCATAACAGCGAGAGGTCCAGTGTGGGAGCAAACTCATTCCTAAACAAATCATCGCCGAAGTCGCAACCACTATTTCTGACTTAGGATAGCTGACATAATCGTAGCATGGTGCCTTTTTTGTTTTTCTTCCCAGCTCTACCAGTCGCAATTCCCCTGATTGGGCATTTGATCGGTTATACAGATTCTTCAGTTGACATGGTGGTCAAATATTCATCACCCGGTTTTCCAGCTGTGCCGCCAAACAACATCACATGGACAAAGGTATTTTTTATAAATTCTCTCAATCCATCAGGGACATTATTAAATTTTATTATTATAGTATCATTGTCTCATAGCATGTCTTTGATACTGCCAACAATAAACATATGAAGGTAGCATCAATATCTCATAGCATGTCTTTGATACTGCCAACAATGTAGATATGAAGGGTGATTGCTAGCCATAAACAATAGTCCTGACGTTTATACGCTTCCAAATGGGAGAAATAAACTTTTATTTTATTCAGCTGATCAGCTAGTCCTGTTAACCCTCATTCCGTTTTTGGGGTTCAAATGGACCCAGGGGTATAGTTGTCGATATAACGTTATCTTCCTTCATGAAATCGAAATAATCGAAGCTGAAAAACCAATTTTTAAATAGCATCAAATATCAGCAAAGATTAAAAACATTCTGCTGTGATAGCCACACAAGAAAGAAGTCACGAAATGTTTCAAAATCACTTTTCATGTCACATTCATGAATGGCTTGTCGTGACTGAAGAATATACATGCTGAACAATGATTTAAAAGTTTACATTCAATAATGTTTAACGAGAGCAAAACACAGTGCTAAAATAGAATGAAGAAAGGTGAGGCATAAGAAGTGAAGTGAGAACTGAGTGCAAGTGGGGTGAGACACTAATAGTAACGCTAGAACTGTGGATTTAAATATTCGACGAGGAGACAAAAATTTTAATAGCGCAATAAGGGGGATGAGCTGAAGTGACATTAGATTACTTTATGTCAAGCGATGGAGACGGTGGGAAAACAATCTAAAAGGTACGCAACAGTTAAAGGGGAACTCCACGAAAAAATGAAAATCTGATAGCCTGTAGAGTTTCGGGTGCTGAGTTGAACGGTCTTGGTCCGAAGCCTCTACGACGAAGCATTCTTGAGATATTTTACTTTGAAATTGCAAAAACCGGGGCCGCACCCTGACGTCATGCGGCCATTTGACTACGTCATCACGGGCTGCCTAAGGGCTCTCTCCTACAAGGCCGCTTTACTCTTTGTGCTCACGGAGCTCACACTGCTGCCCTTACCCAGGGCATAGCTTAAGGATTTCATTTAGCTCGGACAAATGTCCTTCCGTTTTGAAATCTGTCCGGACATGCCCGGACATTTTCCACAACACATTTTCAGGGTGTTTCTTCTTCTTTTTTTAGTAGTACTGAAGTACATTTCCAATGACTCGTTATGTGGACGTATCTCACACATTACTATGTACAATTCGCCAATTTATTTCTATTAGAAACTGAACTAGTGTGAACGATGCTTGTGCTCACTACTATATCAGGGTGTACAGGCATCCGAAGCACTGATTGTATCTGTATTGTTTTGTACTCAATGTATGAAACGCTATTATCTCCACATCACCATGTTTTTATTTTTGTTTCTGTTTTTCATTCCATTGTCGTGAGTTCCTCTTGGGAACGGATACGAGAATAATAATAATAAAGTAGAAAGAAAAAGGACATATGGAAACAAGTTAAGAGTAACTCTCCACCACTGTAACTAGATACTATATACAGTCAGAAAGTGCAACAACTAGGCACAAAACTGACAGAGTATCTATATTATAGTATCTAGTTACAGTGGTGGAGAGTTACTCTTAACTTGTTTCCATATGTCCTTTTCCTTTCTACTTTGTTATTGCCTCAATACCCGAGTTTCAAATAATAATAATAATAATAATTTGAAACTCGGGTATTGAGCCAATAATAAAAGTAGAAAGGAAAAGGACATATGGAAACGAGTTAAGAGTAACTCTCCACCACTGTAACTAGATACTATATACAGTCAGAAAGTGCAACAACTAGGCACAAAACTGACAGAGTACTGAGACATTCGACGTCCTGACACCTAGCTTCAACACATCTCCGTAGCGCTAACCGACAGCCTTCCAACTTGGAAGGTTCAAGGTTATGGAAATACCAAAGAGGGGAAGGCAAGCGCAACAAAAACGAGCACAAGCTACAGTCCCAACGGAACAAAGAATGTCCATTGTTACTGGACGATGACGAAACCAGTAGGCGATTTGACAAAGCGGTCTAACTACGCTTGCCTTCTCCTCTTTGGTATTTCCATAACCTTGAACCTTCCAAGTTGGAAGGCTGTCGGTTAGCGCTACGGAGATGTGTTGAAGCTAGGTGTCAGGACGTCGAATGTCTCAGTGCTCTGTCAGTTTTGTGCCTAGTTGTTGCACTTTCTGACTGTATATAGTATCTAGTTACAGTGGTGGAGAGTTACTCTTAACTCGTTTCCATATGTCCTTTTCCTTTCTAATAATAATAATAATAATAATTTGAAACTCGCGTATTGAGCCAATACTAAAAGTAGAAAGGAAAAGGACTTATGGAAACGAGTTAAGAGTAACTCTCTTCGGCTTGTACAATTCGTTCTCGCAAAGCTTCCCCCTTCTTCACTTATCTTTGATATTTATGACCCACCCAAGTTGGGTGGTGTGCTGCTTTGCTGCTTCTAATTGTAGTTAGAATCGCCTACTGGTTTCGTCATCGTCCAGTAACAATCGACATTCTTTGTTCCGTTGGGACTGTAGCTTGTGCTCGTTTTCGTTGCGCGTGCCTTCCCCTCTTTGGTATTTCCATATTATTAGACACAATCTCATAGCATGTGACAAGCATAGCTAATGCAGGGACAGAATCCCCTGAGACAAGGGCGTTGAGCCAGCCACGGCAATTGTAATCTAGGAAAACAAAGCAAATATTAATGAAAGCAAAAAAATGAATGGAAAATTACAAAGAAAAACGATTAACGGAAGTGAGCACAATCAAAATTCGTGCATCACCCAGGTATTCGAGAATGTTCTTCGATAATAATTATTGCGTCTAGTTCAGTTGCGATAGTAGATCTTTAAACTGACCAATAGAAGAACAAGTTTTCAGACCTCATGGTAATGCTAACCAATGAGAGTAACCGGAAAACAAGGGGGACTTTAGATACTGGGCTGACTTAACAAGAGGCAGGATGAGCGTTGCGGGTTGAGCTTGTCGAGAACCAATTGTATTTCATCATGTGTGAAGGAGTTTTATGAAGAAATATTAAATTTTTATGAACCAGTGTACTGAGATGGTGCTTATGACGAACGGAGAGAGGAGAAGTGTGTGCAAGTCGATAAAGGGCATCCGATGGAAAACATCGATCCTTGTTGTAAAGAATTTTAAGTATAAATCTATGGTGGACTTCTAATTGGTTCAGAGTTGCGTCAGAAAGGCCAAACCAAGCGGTATCGCAATAGTCGAATATAGGGAGAATATAGCACTGATAAAATAATGGTTTACACTGGATGGGCAAATGAGTGCAATGTGGTTGTAGTACCTCTAATGCTGAACTGGTTCGCTTGCATACACAGTTGACATGTGCAGCCCAAGAGAGTTTGCAGTCAAACATCACACCGAGATGTTTGTGCTGAGTAACAACACGGATAGGCGTAGTCGAGTCAGGGAAGTATAATGGTTGATCTGGAGGGGATGAAGAAATATACAGGGCTTCTGTCTTGTCTAAATTGGGCTGGAGTTTCCACGTTTGCATCCACATGACAGTGCTGTTGATGCGATGCTGCATGGTAAGGAGTAATTGTGCAGGGGAGGAATCAGAACAGATAAGGCCAGTGTCATCCGCATACAAACTAACATTGGGGACAACTGAAGGTAGGTCATTAACGTAAAGCAAGAATACCAAAGGACCCAGAATGGAACCTTGGGGCACTCCAGACGTTACAGGGAGGGGATCAGACAAGAAATAGGACAGCCTGAGAACGAGCAGACAGATACGATGATATCCAACGCAAGGCATCATCCTCCACCCGGAAGGTGACCTCCAACTTGGCAAGTAAGCCACGATGCCATACGGTGAGGAATGCCTTAGCCAAGTCGAAAAACACTATTCCCATGTGCTCCCCACAGTTCCTCTTTGTCGCTATGTCTTGGACAAGTCGAGTCACCTGGTATTGAGTTGAGTCACCACGGCAGAATCCCGACTGAGCTGGTGAGAGAGCTGGAGGGATGTGCAGGTAGAGGGAATCGAGTACAATACGCTCACAAAGTTTGGAAACTGTGCGCAGCAGAGAGATGGGGCGGTAGTTTGCCGGGCAAGCACGGGAGCCTTTATTCTTGTAAAGCGGTGTCCTGATGGCGGATTTTCAATCCTGTGGGAATGTGCCAGTTCGAAATGACATAATTATTAAAAATAATGGCGAGAGGATAGGCTATTGATGGTGCAAGAGACTGCAGCACTTCATTCGGGATCCCATCTGAGCCGGGAGACTTTCCGCATTTCAGGCGCTTCAGATATTTCCGAACTTGAAATGTAGTGACAGTGATTGTACGGAACGGAACAGATACGAAAGGCGACTGGGACAAAGGGGGAATGCGCCACGAAGGATCATCAGGTAGCCCAAATGAGGTGAACTGCGTGTTCAGAACATCAGCTTGTTACGGAATCTCAGCCATTCCGTTCCCCGAGACGCAGGACACAAAGGACAAGACTGGTTTGTTACATTATTTATATTTGGACATTACGGAAATGGAGACAACACTCAAAGGGACGAACAAGGAGACTGACAAAAGGACTCTCGACTACAAAATCGCGCATGCTCATATCACACATGCACGCGACTAGACGAGACAGTTTGGGGAATGCCATCACACAGGAAAACAACACATCATTTCACAACACCTGCCCCCTTGATGACATTCCACACAATAATAAACCGACACCACGTTCCACATGCACAACAGCAAAAGGAACCACAGCAGAACAGAAAAACGAAAACCAACCATCAACCTAGAGCCGACGCTCTAAAATAATATCCGGGCCACGAAACAGGGCCAAATAAAAACCTAGAGCCGACGCTCTACAACCAGGCCACGCCACACAAGGCCAACCGAAACACGGGAGCCAAAGCTCCAACAAAATAATAACATACGCACAGCCGCACCAAATAAATCGACAACAAAAACAAAGGAGAACAACAGAACGAAT